TACAAATGTAAAGTTTTCCTTATCATATAAACAAAGACTGACTGCAAAAGCTCAAAAACAGGAGTTGTTTTCAGTTGATATTGAGATAATGTATTTATCAACATCCCCTTGAATTTCCTAGATTTTATGCAACACTAACCTAAGCAGATGAGATCCTGCTGTGTGTCACTTCTGGTACTGTACTATGCTATACTTCACGTTTCAAGAGGTGCCATATTTTAGAATTGTCTGAGTGTATGTCACCAAGACACATTCACCCTCACCCTGGCTTTGGTTTTCATCTACATTCCTCTGAAATCCACATTTAGCCAAGTATTCATGAGCCTCTTCCAAGAACTTGAAAAAATGCTGACTGTAAACTCAATAGCAGAAAACATGTCGTTACTGTCCACAACTCTAGGTAAATATGAGGTGACACAGACTCAGAAAAAAGAAACTGGAGTAGGTTCTTCAGCTCAGATACAGCACGTACTTTGGACAAAGAATGTAGGTTTTTAAGAAGTTAAGACTACCTACGTTCTCATACTAACAAAAGGTAAAATGCTACTCTATTTTTATTTTACTTTTTTTATGCTGTCAACATCTGCAAGATCGGATTTGAATGTCCTGAAGCCTTCTTTTATTATGTCCTCGTGTACATAAATCCATTCTAGAATCCTACTTTTTCCCAGTGGCAATCCTACTGCCAGAAACCATGTTCTCCATGGATGGTTGCCAGAAAGCCTAGCCCACATTCCAACTGCCTAGTTTTTAATTCTATGTCAAATTCCTAGGTTCTTCTAAATATACTGCTGGCATCGCAGAAAGTACTAAAGCAAAATGTTGAAATTATGTAAGCTTTAAATCATTAATAATTTTTCATTATTATGAATCTTTTCCACAGTAGCTGTTTAAAGTATACCAACTAATATGTAGAAAGGTATACCTGAGTATCTTTGGAAGGTATACCTATGGAAGTATATATGCAAGATATATCTGAGATAGTAGCTTGTCCCAAATCACTTACATTCTAAAATAATAGGAGAGAGATAAAATCAGAGGTACGAAAACTCACTTTGGTGCTGATATATAACCCATATAAATGAACTTATTAAAAAAACAACAGCAGCTGAATTAGGCAATGCCTTACACACATTTGAGCTTCTGCCTTGGTACTGTATTGCCCAAACTGGATTCAGATTGATTCTGTACTTTCCAAAACTAAACTTTTCTTCTAATATGAAAAAAGTAACTTTCTTCCTCCCTTCCTTTTTCATCTATGAATATACCTGTATGATTAATTCATTAAGAACCCTTTTCCCCACTCTCTGTCAGAAATCTGTACACAGTTGATAATTGCCAGTTACCAAATCTGTGGATGGAAGAAAGAGCTACTGCTTGCCAAGACAGTTATCACAGAACTTCCTACTTGATCTTAATTATTTATTCATTGTTTAAAAGGACACTGCCTTGCAAATCCTGTGGCTATAGGCAATGAACACATTTTGTGCTTAAAGAGAAGAAACAGAATGCACTGACACGTAGAATCCCAATGTGTGCTTAAATATTTCAAAAGCAAAAAATTATCATAAGCAGTCATTTTCAGGAAAAATGAAGGAGGCCAATTCCATCAGAATGCTCTGCAGTTTAAATGGAGCACCAGCTCGCTGTGAAACAGCCTAGAGCTGAAAGTGGTCTCTCTGTATTGACAGACAGATAAGCATACTTATCTGCAAAGCACAGTCATCCCACGTCCTTTTTTCTGAATCCCTTCAGCATATGAACATTATGGGAATGCTGAAATAGTGTTTTCTGAGCCCCATAGGTTTTATGTGCCAAAGATCAGCAACTTTTCTATTTTAACATTAATTGATGTGCACCATAAGATATGGAGAAACTGGGGGACGACGGTGTGCAGAAGAGGGGAATGAAAAGTATAAGAGCACATCAATAACCAGACCAGCTCTTTATATTTTACAATGATGATCAGGAGTACTGTAAATGCAAAACTGTGACTGTCTATTAAATTCACTGATTGACTCTTCCTTCTACATTTATAGCAGGTACATGCAATCTGTACTCAAAGATGGCACTAGAGTTACATGTACGCTTACAAATTAGGTTGGCAGCCATTTTTATTAGCTCTCATTTTCCATTTTAAAATGTTCCATGTTAAATTTTAATATCATAGTTTTTATAATTATGGTATTTCAGCTTTCTTGATTTCATCATGAATATAATGAAATTTGCTTTTGCATTTTCTTTTTCTTTTCAGGTTCTAAACTTGATGGTTTCCTTACAAGGGGAATTATTTAGCCTTGTTGTTACCATCAATATTTTTAAGCTTTTCTGTGCAGGGGTTGAAAGAGCCAGAAGATACATAAAGAATAGCAACATATTTAATGTCCCATGATTTTTTATGCCAGTTGCATTTAGAGCCGAGTTAGGGACTGTGAACATTCACTTTAGCTATTCTACAGCCAGGAGGGATCACTATGAGTATGCAAGCTGACCAGGCCAACGTTTTTCCCCAAACTAATTCCAGACAATGCATTATTCCAAAAACAATCAAAAAAGAATCTGGTCTTGATTAAGGGCTTGGGCAGACAAATATAGAACAACACCCTTCTAATAGACCACTATTTTCCATTTCAAAACATCAACCCAACAACAACAACAACCCAACATCGCAAACAACCCCCATGCCTTAACTGAGCCCATTTTTGTGAAATTTGCAAAATAATGGAACCCAGTTTCAGCCACTGGATCTGTTTAAACCTTTGGTAACCAGACTATAGAATCTGGTATTAGTAATTAACTAGAGATCAACTGATTAATCCTTTAATGATCTCTTGAATAAGCTAAATGGACTGAGCTCCTAGAATCTTTCAGTCTAAGGCACATTTTTCAACCCTTTGATGAGCCCTGTGACTCTCTTCTGAATCCATTGCAAATTATCAATATCTCTACAACCAAAAAACCCCAAATGAATAAAAAACCTTAGAATTAGCTTACAAATAAAAAGTTCATTTTTCTATGCTGACTTGAGAGTCTTGTGTTTAAATAGTCAATGATCACCCTTGTCTGTTTTCAGCTGTGAGTTTGGGCTGTGGTTTTGCCTAGTAATTCAATAAAATAAAACATAACCTGGAAACGAACAACAGGAATTTTTTAGAGAAATGATATTGTGCAGACACTTGGTTGTAAACCTATCAATATCTACTGCCTGTACCCTCAGGCTAGGATTTAATTAACTTGTTATCACCTCTCTGCATTACAGAACTGAAGAAATGGGCAACAAAAAGTATAAGTATACAGGCCTCTTCTTGGTAAGATAACATTTCCAGACATTGTCAGTCTCCAAGTCGAGACTATTATGTCCATGTGTAAGGAAAATGTCAGCAGCAAACCAGATTTCAGCAGTTGGAATACATTTAAATGATTAAAAAAAATGGTTTTCTGCAGCTGCATAAAGTGATGATTTTGGCTGGTTTGAATTAGACAAAGTGGAAACAGGAATCATCACAGAGCTCTATCTTCCCTATCTCTATAGGCAGTCCCTGTGTTAGAGGCCAACACAAGATGCAACAAGCCCTTTGACTTTGGCCTTGAATTATAATTAATCAGCACATAAAAATGTATTCTATACATAACAGTACTACACATCATGTAACTGAAGGTCCTTCAGTTTTATTGCTCTCACTAACTAACTACTCAGGCTAGCTTGCCTCTCCAGAAAAACATGATTGCCTGACCTCTAAATCCTTTTGCAAACTACTATTTTCTCCCTTTTTTTCCCCCTCCTTAGCAATTCTGGAATTAATTTATAGACAGAATCAGTTAAATAAATATTAGCACTTGCTTTAAAAAAAAGGGTTTGGTAGCTTTAGAAGCTTTAAACATTTTCCAAATGTTTTCAAAATACCTCATATTAATAATTTCATAACCTTTCAGATACTCTCTAGGAAGCTTTGTTATTTTGCAATACCGAATTTAAGACGTTACTACATGATTTTTGTCTTCTCAAGGTTCTCAAGTCTGAATCATAATTTCGAAGAGAATGTGTCATATCAATTGCATCTCTTATCAGCCCAACCTATCCAAATTAATCCTCTTTCCATTTGTGATTACATAACATCCTTGCATGAATTACCACAATTGCTAGCCTGGAATGTATTACAAAGAAAGCATTTAATGTATTTTTAGCTGTCTTTTAGTATAATTAAAATAAGGAAGAGGAACCAGATAATGAGATTAAGCAGCTCTCTACAGACCAATGACAAATATACTGTAGACATTGTTTGGAAACTCTGGTGCTTTCCTCCTTGATTTTTCTTTTACTACTGGCTTGAGAAAAATAAATAGGTGGGTGCTGCATAAGCACAGTAGAATTACAGAATTCTGCTGTCTGATCAAAGAGAAGTGGCAAAGGAAAATGAGGAAGCATGTACCTGAGTTCAGTTTGCATTCCCAGTTTTTAGACTTAAGTTCATCACTCCTAATATCTAACTAATATCTAACTAATCTATTATTGTTCCTAAATATTATCTGAAAACTCACAGCAGCTGTGTATAGTCATATACAGCCAGAATTCTTCCCAGAAGCTTCAGAGCATAAATAATAAAATATTCCCCTCCCATTTACACTCTATCGTTCAAAGACACTTCTAGTTCTCAGCAAAGACAGAATGTAACTTGCAAGTAACAATGTAGGGTCTGTTCAACTGATTTGAAGATTCCAGAAAATAATTCATAAGAATAAACATATTCTGCCATATTCTATGGCAGAATTCATGCAAGTCTAACATGCAAAACATTGACCATATTAAATTGCTAAATTGCCACAGAATGAAAGATATTGCAAAACTGTCATACTTTAAGCATTCTTCCATTGAAATTTCAGTTTAATTGCAAGCTGAAAAACACACACAATATATAGCTAATCAACAGCATAATTTTAAAAGCAAGGAAGTTCCTACGTTCGGCCAGTGGAATGATGAAATGAAACAGCTCTTTTCTTACCCTTATTGTACATATTGGTCGGTACTTGGACATCACTCAGACTGATGTTCACTGGCAAATTATTGAAGTGGTCATTTGGCACTAGAATAAACTCCTTCCCCAGCTCCAGATAGTTTCCCTCTTCATCTCTTTCATTTATGAGCACAGCATTGAAGTATTCATACTGCAACAGAAAACCACGTTCAGTATTCAGAATTCACATTCAGCATAAAAATATTAGGTTTGAAAATTTTAACGTATCTATCAATCCATTGATTAACATTTACATGTAACTCCACCTAGAATAGAAGAAAAGATATTTTTAACATCCCTCAGATTACCTCTATACACCTAGAACAGGTACATTTCTGACACCAGATTTATCAATGCATCTCAAGAAAACGCCATGTTACCTCAGATCTCTCTCTGCCCTGAAAATGTTAAGGGCAAAACAACAAACACCCTCAGCATAAGCAAGGTGTGCACTATTTTTAATACAAAGCTCTCTAGATTTAAATAATTCCCTGTATAATTATTTAATGATGGATCTCTCTGTTTAGCTTATTTCTATCAGCTCAAAAACTGCTATCAGTGCTGAACTTAGCCCTTGACAAACTAAAAGTGTTTTTACTTCACAGGAATATTAACTACAGCTGTTGTTGCTTCCCCATTGTGTACTGACCAACGTTTCCTAAAGCAATGTGTTTGCTTTATGCTGAATTTTACAATTGCACATCATAGTAGCTTTCGTACAATTATGCATACTCTAATATGGGCATATAAACTCAGCAGTGACTTGTTTTGAACAAGAAATTATTGTATGCCTGTTACAGATTCCTGAAAAGTATTTGGCCTATTTTATACAGAAATATAACCAGATAAGCAAAAGCAATTTAGATAAAAGTATTGATTTCTTTACAACCTAGTTTAACCAGAAATTCTATCAAGCTTTGAAAGCAACAAACGATGAAGACGACTTTTTAACCTTTTAAATAACCTTAACCCTTGGCAACAGTTTCGGATGTGTTTCTTAATTGAAAGAGACCAAAGTTTAGTGTCTTTGAAGAATCTCATTAACTTAAACATGAGTCTCTGCCCTAACTATCCATTTGAGAGTAAGTCAATATAGAGAATATTTAGACATAAATCTGTGCAATCATACATATATATATCTATACAACTGGTACAAGGATAAATATATTATACCATTTACAAAGCTAAAACAGATCAGCAAGTACAAAAAATTAAAAGGCTTTTCACAAGCATTCTCAGCGTGATATGCAACTTGTTCTACTAAAGAAGAATTAGGTAAAAATCTTACAATCTATACACGTCTATTTAAAGGCTTGGTAATTTAACCAGTATCTTAAACGGGGGCTTACTTGGAACGCAGCTTTCCATATCCTGCACTTTTAGCTTTCAGTTTTTCAAAATGGCCAACCCGTAGTTTGGATTTTAGAGGAGAGTAAAATACAAAAGAAGTCACTGTATATTAGCTAGATTTTGAGGACCTTCTGTGCATGACAGAAATACTCAAACTCAGTGTTCCACATACCATTAATCATAACATATAACAAAGACTGAGACACATCAATATTTGAAAATCAATTTAATAGAAATTAATCTGACATGATTAAACATTTGACCTTAAAGATATTTTACTTTAATTGGTTTACACCAAGATGAGCCAAATAATCTGCTGCATACATCTTATGAATATACACAGCTATTGAATCCTGAAGTTCCAGAAAAAAACACAGTAGTCTTCCCCACCCCCCACTCCCCCCCATCTCCAGGAGCCAAAGGTACAGAAAAGAGTAGAGACATAATTCGGCTAAAACTGTAGTTTAATTAATTAATTCATTCCAACAGTTACTAGAATTACCCAACACACCCATAGATGCTACCCTCCTCTATACCATTTGGGAGATTGTCACTGTTACAGGTTTGATTGTTCTCATACCAAAACCAAAAGGATGAAGAAACGTGATCATTTCCAAGGAACACCAGTTCTCATTCTATTTGGGAGAAATCTTCACCATCTCTGCTTATTATCCAGGTTTATCACAGATCATTAACTGCACTGCATGCCTGCCGCCCACATGTGACAGCAATTTTTCCAGTTTACCCTTTCTGCAAAAGCCAGAGACAGTTGGCAGAAGACTTGAAAGGCCAACTCGTATTTCCCATCTTAGTAAGAAATATAATATTCCTTCCAACATTAAGCCATGCACTAATGACTGTTGTAAAATGCAATTCTATACCAATTCCAAGCAAGGAAGGAGCAAGCTGTGTAGCTTTTCTATGATAGATAGTATCTAAGTGTGGAAGAAAGGCTGATATTCCAACCCCTGGGAGTACAGTGGTAAATAAAATATATTTCATGCTTTCTTGCCAATGACCTCTCTCCACACCCCCAGACAGCAAAGTTCCAGCAGGGTAAGGATGATTGTTTCATCTTTTTTTCAAACCACTTGTTTTCTTGTCCTTAAAGACATGGTTTTGTTCTCCTTTTTCTCTGTTGAATATAGCATCGCCTCCACAACCTCTGGAGCTACAGATAAGCCATTGCGTCGCTTTCATGACAATTCTTGGCTTTATAAGTCTTATCAGGATTGTCACAGAGAAACAAAAAGGGTTTTGTTTTTTTGTTTTCTTATTAAAGACCATCACTGAAAGGATTCACAACACCTAACTCCAAATTTTAACACAAAATTTGTATTTAAATATTACACTTTAAGCAAAAGATGAATACATTTGGGAATAAAATATTCTGTACTAAAATATGTAGCAATATACTGTTCTCTAACTGAATTATAGTTATGTGTCATGGAATAATTTCTACAGTAATTCACATACAGACTTAGTGATTTCAAGGAGGTAAATTTACCTTGCCCATGGGTTTTATAATACTTTGGAAGTGGTAGGAAAAATGGACAGATTTCAAATCAGAATGTCAGAATAGACATGGAATCACCTCTAAAAGAATATTATTTCCTTTCATTCAGTGGGTTATTTCCTTTTCCAAAGGAGTTAATTAGTAGACAACCTCCTTCATCATGTTCTGTAAGTGGCAAGGCTAGCCAAGTATTAAAATCTGCTATATTCTAAATAAATGAAAGTACTTATTTCACAATTAAGGGTATTTAGGACCAATTGTTTCTTCGGTTGATTTAGTATTCACTGACATATTGGTCTGAATCTGTATTTTCTCTTTTCAATTCTACAACTGTATATGCAATAATTTTGTTTATGTGTGGGGTTTTTAAAGCAAATAGTAGCATAAAATAGTCCTTACAGTACTGCAGATAATTAATATTTTCCTGGGGCTTTTTTTCTGTTTGATTTTGGTGGGAGGGTTGGTTTGTTGGGGATTTTTTGCAGGTGAGAAGTCTATAAAAATAACATACTTAAGATGGTCCTGCAAGTTCTAAGGACTCAACATTAGGTATTATATACAGCTCAAAAATACTACTGAAAAAGATCAGCATTTAAGCAGAGCTGTTATACAGTGGCTTCTTTTGGGCACTTTCAAGGAAATTATTGAGTGTGACAGCTGAAAGGTGATAGAAGGAAAATTAAAAATAAAAATTGGAGAAAAAAATAGTAAGGTAAATCCCTCTGGCATTCTGACACTGCATTCGAGAAAATGCTCAAGGGAAAG